CTGAGGGTGAGAAGAGAGAGAAGTGGGTGTTACTATTTCTGCTGCTGTGCTTAAGAGCCTTAACCCCCGCAGACCAGATCACAGAAGGATGATGTTGATATTAGAAACAGGTCCTCCATTCTACACGAGACAACAAGGGCTCTGATGCTGAGGAGAGGAGAGGAAAGAGGCACTATTGTCGTCTTAATCACCAACTTCCTGGACCAAATTTCTAACAATTTCGTGAGTTTATCCTAAAAACACAAAAATACAAGTTAATACAAAACTAAACTTGGTTCTCCATAATTCAAATTTTACGAGTAACATCCTACATATAACATAATATAAACAAACCTAAAATACATCATTATCGTGTTTCAAGTTCGTCTTAAGTTCTCAGCTGACTCATCAACGGCCCCGCCCACTTCCAGGCAACACACCAATGAAAACTATCGTCCGTGTGTGATGTGTACCTGACGCCCTGACTCAGACCTATCAACAACATCAGACGACGCCTCTTAATGTCCCCGGATCATCACATTACATCACCACTCCGTAATAAACACCAGATACACTTCAATATATCCCGTTAATATATGTAATAGTGCAGCCATGAGAGTTAAAAGGTGTTAACATGGAAAAATGATTAACACTATGGCCAAAAGGTGGAGTATATCACCACAAGAGGAGAGTGGCAATCCGTATCCTGTATAAATGAATAATAAATGTGAAACCGTTCCACCGTCTACAGGGAGGTGGTGGTGGTTAAACAGTTTCACCTTACACCACAACACTACACCACTGTACTGTAGGTTAATTCACTGACACACACACACACACTTGACAAGGTAGTAGTCATCACAGAGCCACAGGCAGGGTACAGTACCCTCTGGTGTGAGGACCTATCACCACCACAACATCACAAGGCACCATCATCACCACTACCATCACAACACATCACCTCAGTGTCAAGACCTGACTGAATTACTTAGAATAGGCAAACTGTACTACAAGCTTTGTCAATAAATTTGTTAAACTAAAAAAAAACATCACAACATCCCCACCAACACACATAAAGGCGTCTCTCTCAGGGGGCCCAACACACACACACACACCTCAGTGTTTACACAACATTCATATCAAGCTCACCTATGCCTCCCCCACCTGGTCTTCCTCCCTAAATGCCACACAACGTAAACACCTAGAAAATGTGCAAAGAGGCATGCAAGATTATTCTATCCCCTTCCTACTCCACATATCAAAGCGCTCAACACACTGACCATCACCACGACCTCATCTGCAAATTTGGATAAGCTTCTACACCATCCTCGACACCGCCCTACTACCACCTGAGATCCCTAGCCCGAGAATTGCTGTTCGACACCACAACCGCATCCAGCCCATACGTGCATGAACTGATCGCTATAAGAACAGCCCAGTCCCAACCATTGTAAAAAATCAATAACTAGCAGATTCACCAGTAAACACTGCCTTACACTGTCACTATGTTGAAATGAACTGTAGTTTGAGCTTTTCCCCATCTAGTTATTATATATCTTATTTGTATCACTTATGTTACTTGTATATTATTTGTAATTCGATACCCATTCCCCAAATATGTAACTGTATATTTTCAGCCTTCTGGCTGCCAAGCTCTTTCAATAAACCGTTAATTATTATTATTATTATTATTATTATTTTCAAATGATTGCATTGTTAACCCTGTGCCCACCTTATCGCTATCTCTGCCACAAACAAACACACACACCCCCCAACGCTCACTAACAGAAATAATCTATATCTTTACAAATCATCATATACAGACTGTACTTTTATTTTGGGACATACATACATGCATACATATACATACATACAGACAGACATGGACGATGATGACAATGCCCCAGTCAGCCAAAAAGAGAGAGAGAGAGAGAGAGAGAGAGAGAGAGAGAGAGAGAGAGAGGAGAGAGAGAGAGAGAGTGTGTGTGATGAGGCGATAAAAAACAATTGACAATTAACACGACAATGACAAACAAACATAAAACATAACAATTGCTCGCTTGACTTGTGACATATACTCGACCACAACACTAGATCATGTCCCTGCAAACGCTCTTGATCAAACGGGGCCCCAACCCACAGTAATCTTAACAAACGGGGCCCCCAACCTACAGTAACTTAACAAACGGGCCCCCAACCTACAGTAACTTGAACAAACGGGGCCCCCAACCTACAGTAACTTAACAAACGGGGCCCCAACCTACAGTAACTTAACAAACGGGGCCCCAACCTACAGTAACTTAACAAACGGGGCCCCAACCTACAGTGCTTAACAAACGGGGCCCCAACCTACAGTAACTTAACAAACGGGGCCCCAACCTACAGTAATTAATAAACGGGGCCCCAACCTACAGTAACAACAAACGGGGCCCCAACCTACAGTAACTTAACAAACGGGGCCCCCAACCTACAGTAACTAAACAAACAGGACCCCAACCTACAGTAACTTAACAAACGGGGCCCCCAACCTACAGTAACTTAACAAACGGGGCCCCCAACCTACAGTATCTAACAAACGGGGCCCCAACCCAGTAACTTAACAAACGGGCCCCAACCTACAGTAACTTAACAAACGGGGCCCCAACCACAGTAACTTAACAAACGGCCCCCAACCTACAGTAACTTACAAACGGCCCCAACCTAGTAATTAAACAAACGGGCCTCAACCTACAGTAACTAAACAACGGGGCCCCAACCTACAGTAACTAAACAAACGGGGCCCCAACCTACAGTAACTTAACAAACGGGCCCCCAACCTCAGTAACTTACAAAAACGGGGCCCCAACCTACAGTAACTAAACAAACGGGCCCCAACCTAAGTATAACAAACGGGGCCCCAACCTACAGTAACTAAACAAACGGGCCCCCAACCTACAGTAATCTTAACAAACGGGGCCCCCAACCTACAGTAACTTAACAAACGGGGCCCCCAACCTACAGTAACTTAACAAACGGGCCCCCAACCTACAGTAACTTAACAAACGGGGCCCCAACCTACAGTATTAACAAACGGGGCCCCAACCCACAGTAACTAAACAAACGGGGCCCCAACCTACAGTAACTTAACAAACGGGGCCCCAACCTACAGTAACTAACAAACGGGCCCCAACCTACAATAACAACAAACAGGGCCCCCAACCTACAGTAACTTAACAAACAGGGCCCCAACCTGCAATAACTTAACAACAGGGCCCCAACCTACGTAACAACAAGCAGGGCTAACCTACAATAACAACAACAGGGCCCCCAACCTACAGTAACTTAACAAACAGGGCCCCAACCTACAGTAACTAAACAAACAGGCCCCAACCTACGTACTAACAACTAACCTTAAAAGGGCCCCCAACCTACAGTAACTTAACAAACGGGCCCCAACCTGAACAAACAAACGGGGCCCCAACCTACAGTAACTTAACAAACGGGGCCCCCAACCTACAGTAACTTAACAAACGGGGCCCCAACCTACAGTAACCAAACAAACAGGGCCCCCAACCTACAGTAACAACAAGCAGGGCCCCCAACCTACAGTAACAACAAACGGGGCCCCAACCTGCAGTAACTTAACAAACAGGGCCCCAACCACAGTAACTTAACAAACAGGGCCCCAACCTACAGTAACAACAAACAGGACTAACCTACAGTAACTAAACAAACGGGGCCCCAACCTACAGTAACTAAACAAACAGGGCCCCCAACCTACAGTAACTTAACAAACAGGGCCCCAACCTACAGTAACTTAACAAACAGGGCCCCCAACCTACAGTAACTAAACAAACGGGGCCCCAACCTCAGTACAACAACGGCAACCTACATAACAACAACGGGCCCAACCTACAGTCTTAACAACGGGCCCCAACCTACAGTAACACAACGCAACCTACAGTATTAACAAACAGGGCCCCAACCTACAGTAACTTAACAAACAGGGCCCCAACCTCAGTACAACAACGGGCCCCAACCTACATAACTTAACAACAGGCCTCAACCTATAACTAAACAAACGCCAACCTACAGTAACTAAACAACGGGGCCCCAACCTACAGTAACTTAACAAACGGGGCCCTCAACCTCAGTAACAACAAACGGGCCCCCAACTACCGTAACTAACAAACGGGGCCCCAACCTACCGTAACTTAACAAACGGGGCCCCCAACCTACCGTAACTTAACAAACGGGGCCCCCAACCTACCGTAACCTAACAAACGGGGCCCCCAACCTACAGTAACTTAACACAGTCATTACAAATCCACAGAAAATACCACTTATGATCAATGTTACACAATTATTTACATACGGTTCACAAACAATACACACATATATATAAATACAAGAAGCATTCATTCATACAAGCAATCTTTCACACATACAAAATACAACCTTCATACATACAAACACATACACACACACATCCCCACCTACATACATAAACACAACCCACATACATACATACACATCCCCGGCACTGAGGTGAACACAAGCCAGCTGTCAGCGTCACGAGCTAACCTAACAGAGAAGAATCGTTTCTCATATTAGTCTAATTAATTCATTACTTCAACATATGGCAACCCCAGCACGCACTAATGGGTTCATGGCGGAGGAGGAGGAAAGAAGGGAAGAGAGGAAAAGGGAGGAAAGGGTAGGAAGGAGGCAGAGGGAGGGAAGGAGAGGGAAGGGGAGGTGGGGGAGGGAACGGAAGGGAAGAAAAGGAAGGAGGGAGGGAGGGAATGGGAAGGAGGTAACGTGTTCCTTCCTAGACGTGGTGATGGTTAGTGTTGAGTGTGTTATGCCTGGTGTTGACGTGACAGATGCGCGATAACCACCCGTCACGTACGATACCCACCAGCTGATCACTCCCACCCAACTAACTTTTAACGGCGTTTTTGGTAACAGTGAATACAAATACGTAATTAATTGATATATATATATATATATATATATATATATATATATATATATATATA